TTAATCAGTAACCTACCACACATTCACCGCATCACACTTCAATTATGTTGTCTGAAAATACCACTGTAAACACGGAGAGACTTTCCAGGGAAACTCTCATCGAGCGACCCAAAGTCGTGCCGTCACGGCCGAGCGGCCATCAGCTACTTCACTCCGAGCGTGGCCTTTTTCTCAGCCCCACCCCGCCTGCCGGTCCAATCGAGGGGAAAGTGGACGGCAGATCGGCGGCACTGGACACGTGAATACGCTGCCGAGCTGTGTCTGCGGTGATCAGACGTCCAACCGATACGGTCATCGGACGGACGGTGACAGCGTGAGAGGATCGGAGGAGGGAGGAGGCGCAGAAGGGAGGAGATACACCGCTGACAGCCTGAGAGCCCTCTGGAGGGAGGAGGCGCGGCGTCCGGTGGAGTTACTAGTTGTGTGGGATATGGTCATATGGTGCACTGCAGTCTCCATATGTCTCCCCTCCGGCACCTTGGAGATGCCAATTATTGCCGAGCCGATTGGCGTAGGCGCACTTCTGAGCCTTCAACTGGGTATTTGAATAGAATACCGGTCAGTCTAAATGAAGTATACGACGATTTTAATGAAATTAAAAAATTGGATTCATCACGGCCTCTTAACTTTTGAAAGGTAGCTGGGAAGCCTCTATAAGCGACAAGCTTATTCAAGTGAATGACGTTTCTCTCGTCTATCTGTTCTCTCCGCTGCAGGACACTCCTAGGATGTCATGGGACACGGCCGATGACCTCTAATTAACAGTCAACTGCTAGGGAAAGAGAACCAGTTCTTGGTAGATGAGCATGAATGAACGGGAACACCGCTCAGTTTCTCTGCTTCTAGTTTCCAAGGGCTATAAACGACACTCAAAGATAAAATGTAGCCCGGGTTTATTATATGTCGGTTAGAAACACTGAACTGCTGATAATAAAAATGATATAAAATGATAATAACTTGATAATAAAACTTGATTATAAAACGAGTAGCATTTATTCATCTGGCACATATTACTAGCTACGTATGGGATGTCTGGCTGCCAGGAGCCAACGGTACGCTGACCGGGTGGCAACGCGCTCATATCAACAGCATGAGAGCGCACGCGCCCATCGAGACAGCACGCACGCACTCACGCACGCATTTAGGTCCACATCCCGTGGTGTCGGGTACCGTTTACCAGACTCGCGTCTGGCCCGTCTTAACTCTAAACTGCGGCGTGTGCAGTCACTCCGTCAGTGAAAACGGTGCTTCCCGACACGTAACACACGAGGCACATCGAAAACGATTCGGTTTCACGAGCTCCGCACATCATGGGGTTCGGGCGGCGCGGTGATATGGCATGCCTACTCCGGCGCGACATACGAGCAATGAAAGCACGGCACTATCATTCATTACTGTGCGGTTGGTCACACTTCCCGGAAAGGTTCAATTAAAAGAATCACGATTCAATTTCCTCATTTCTATTTATTTGTCGTGAGTTCTATTCGTGAGAGTTTATTTGTTCTATGTATGTATTGCCCTATCAGGATTTTAAAACATTTGTAGCATTTAATCATCAGATGGTACAACGACAATATTTGCATAGTTCACACCAGTATAGCGCCTTTTGGGGCGATTAACGGAGCGAGCGAGAGGGTGAGCCTCGCACGTGCGAAATTTCGAGGGGGTACCTCCAACTGACTTGTGCACGGCACCCTACTAACCGGTCTCTAGCGATGTGCCAAATTTGAGCACAATCGGCCCAGCCGTTCTCGAGATCTGGAAGCGGCACCCTGCACGTGCGCACGTGCAGAATGGGTCCCAACTGACTTGTGCACGGCACCCTACTAACTGGTCCCTAACCGTGTACCAAATTTGAGCGCCATCGGCCCAGCCGTTCTCGAGATCTGGAAACGACCCCTGCACGTGCGCACGTGCAGCAGCACCCCAAATCTGGCACATGGATATGCAGTGCTTAGTGGGTGCCTACCTACATGCCAACTTTCAGCGCAATCGGCCAAGTAGTTACCGAGATATTGCAACAATTACAAAACTGACACCTCTTCGTTTTGCGCGTGGCACGTGCATAAGGGGTCACCCACATGCATCGGCAATAGTCCAATACTTGGTAGAAGGAATGAAGCTACCCTACAGAAATTACCCCGTGTAAATCGGTCAAGTGGTTGCTGAGATATAAGCCTCGCAAAAGCGTCCGCACGGCCGGCCGGCCGGCCGGCCGGCCGGCCGCTCATACTCAGAAATTTCCGTTAATCTAAGGAAAGACTACGCTCGCTTCGCTCGCTCCGTAATAATGACTTTCGATTTCAAAATCATCTTTTGTATCGCGTTCTAAACATAAGTGCGTCAGTCTTTCGCACAAATATGGGGAGAAAAACTCTAACATACGCCATTCTCCGCCGGAATCCTGACAAACAATCAGCTGTCACGGGATGATGCCGACTAGAGTTGCAAAATTTCCCCCAAAGGCTGCTACCGGCACCGCCCCGCCCCACAAAAATTTTCTGGGATACCGGCATGCTACCACGACCCAAGCAAAAACACCACCAAATTACCGGCATACTAAAAAAACCTGCAATGTTGATTCTAGCTTACCCCTACAAGAGATGCCACTTTAATGACCACAGTAGATTCTTGACAATCCTAATTATAACGAAACCTGTGAATCGCTGAGGTTCATGTGTTATCCCTACCCTTAGCTGTTAGCAATGTAACTTCTACCAGAAAATGTATTTTGCAGTGGCTAATATTGCTGTTATTATAATTTGATAGCTTCTTAGTGCCCAAAGTTTAAACCATATGCTGATATTTTCTATTTTTGAGCAAAATCAAAAATACCGGCATGCTACCGGCAAGACATGCCAGATACCACGAAAAAACCTGCGGTAGTGAAAATTTACCGGCATGCCGGTAGTGCGGTAGGGAAACTTTGCAACTCTAATGCCGACGGTTTCCGTAGGTAGCAGCGCGGTGATAGTGCGAATAAAGCACAGAGCGTAACCGTGACAAAACGGAAAGTGACACCCGGCGCTTCGGTTGCTTGCCGTTCAGCGATAGTGAAACTTTGGGTGTCGTTTGTGGGATGAGGTGTCGACTGGCAAAATCAAAGAGCTGAGTCGTGAAAAGGTTCACGTGTGTTGTCATGCATTATCTAAAATATTCCGCATGTGAGTGCAGCTGGTGTTATTAGTGCCGAAGTAATTTTTTTTTCAACATACTCCTCGCCGCAGTAATCTTTGAAGAGATCCTCAATTTCATTTGTAGCGTTGAATGGTTAAAGGCCGCCCCACACTGGACCTCGCATGCGGGTTGCGAGTTTTTGGGTTTTGCGGTTTCTTCAAAATCACATAATACAATCTAGACTTAGTGACCCATACTACCATCTAACAAGCGAGTCTGCATGTTTTTAGCTTGCGAGCGACCTTGCATCGCATTCCAAAAGTTGATTTTGAGTCAACTTTCGATTTTCCTCGCTGCGGGGTCTGCGAGTACTGCGAGGTTTGCGGGTTTTTCGTTGGAGTCGAATTTTGATTTGTTGCGCTGGTATTGCGACTATAAGTAAGTTTATGAAGGCGTACCGGCTTCACTGCATTCATGAAGTTACCATATGGGAACGGTCTTATCCCTTTATGAATTAGTATCATGCCCGCAAACTCAAAACCCGCAAACTCGCAACCCGCATGCGAGTTTCAGTGTGGGGCGGCCTTAAACCGGTTAGACATGACAATTGTGATGTTCTCACCAACAAACCTCATTATACTTCATTGCATTTCTCAATTTCATCTCTCTCATACTCTTTTAAAAGTTCTTGTAGCCGGATGTGTTCCTCTCAATACACGGACCACAATATACCGCGCCACCTGGGTAAATATCCTTATCAAGATGGATCGGCGATAATAAACCTTACTACATCAGATACGAGACCACAGAACAGGGAAAGTATCGCATCGTTTGTAAAATCATTTAGGAAGTCACTTTCGCTGGTCAAACACCTCCATGGAACACCCCAGAGCCCTGGAACGATCCGGCGGAAGACGCTGATGGCATAATTGCTACAATTTGCGCCTTCAGACGCCAAGGTGGCTTCCTGCCGAAAGCTGCCGTAATTAATTTGAGAAAAGAGGTCAGTTTTATCAATGGAAAGTGTCATGAGCGGAAACCAGAATTAATGTTGTTAGGATTTCTAATTATAATTCTCGCCGTTGCATTGCAAACGGTAAACGTTACGCATCTTCCTTATGGTAATATTGCTCGATTTTCTGCCAGATGGATCCATTTCTCTCAAACTGAATCAAACGTTTATGATACTGTCACTGTACGGAGCGCATGGAGCCGGATAAAGTTGAGCTCTGCATATTTTCAAACCTACACCAAGGAAAAGGCAAGCAGAGTCAAAGTGACTGCAGGGCTGCAGAGTCGGAGTCGAAGTCGGAGTTGGAGTCGGTCGGAGTCGACAGTTCTGCCCGGAGTCGGAGTCGGAGTCGGAGTCACCCTAAAATCTATCGACTTCGCACTTCGCAGCCCTAAAAGTGAGGACACACATTCGCAAGCTGTCCGTCGAGAGGAACCGAGGTTACAGGACGCTGAGCGAAGGGCTGCTGAGAAAAGGTAAACGAATAAAATCCTACCGGAGGAGCCTGGATCAGGCGACGTCAGACGGGAGACGGCAGATCGTCCAGGACGATAAAGATGAAGAGTTTATTCAGTTCACCTGCGAGACTAATGAATAGCTATCAGCTCAATTCAGGTTATTCGTTAGCGATCGTTTCACTGATGACAAAATCACCACCATATTGTTGGGCGTTGACCCGAACATCTAACCCTGTCAACGGCCGTCAGTCTGTCATCGTCCCGTAAGGTCAGAGGTCAGGTCACACCGTCGGCGGTCGTTGGTCGGGGTCAGAGGTCAGGTCAGTCTGCGTCACTGTGTGGGAGGAGAGCTCGCAGCCGCTGAGCTGCGCCAGCCCGTGCGGCGGCGGCGGCGCGTCGCTCCGAAGTGGCACAGAGGCGCGGCGCGGGTGTGGGGCACTGGTCGGCGGTGGTCTCAGTCGCCGACCTCAACTGTCGGGGAGCGGACGGTGTCGCTGGGCTGACCTGACCTGCTGCGGGACACAGCCGAGACCGACAGTCAGTGGCGGAGGGTTCAGAGGAGACGCCAATAGCAAAGGTGAGGATTGCCGCTGTGGTGTGCGGCAGAGAGGGTCGAGGCGGAAGGGGGTCTATGGTGGAGGTCCGGTCGCGGCGGGGCCGCGCCGGGAAAGGGGACGTTTGAGATGAATGATCCATAGACCTGAAGGGGAGACGGGTCGTCCGAAATGGGATGTCCGGTGTTGAAGGCTGGGAGTCTTAGATGGGGTCCCGGTGAAAAAGGAGTTTGGTTGCGCCCGAAAATTGCCGATATATGTGACTTATAGGCAATGTAATATGCATGAAACTTTCGTCATTCATTACCCACACATAAAAGCACCATGTGGATTTCACCGACCAATGTCCAAACTCCAATGTGCAAGAGGCTTTGGTATATCTAGACAGCCACCAAACCGATAGACAAGCGGTACTCTGCATCCAATAGCTCATCCCTCGAAAATTATGAACCCAACTAGGAACTTTTAATCCACATGGGTGACCAGCACGTCACCTGCCACGTGCGAAGTCAGGGGTGCCAAAATTGTTCCGTTTGTAATAACTCCGCATTGATTGGTCGGGTTGCGCTGAAGCCTGAAACTTGGCCAACAGGTGGACGTGTACCGGACGAAGCATTCCCATGCATCACGGTTGGGCTCTTATTGTATATGCGCGTATGCAGTGGTCGCTTCCGCAACTCGAAGACGGCGGGGCCCATTGCGCTAAAATTTGGTAACCGTTGTTAGAGGTCGGTTGAATGCCCATTGCCCACATAAATCAGTTGGGATTCGCTTTGCACGTCGCGCATGTGCAGGGGGCCGCTGTCGAATCTCGAGAACGGCTACGCCGCTTGAGCTCAAATTCGGTTAATTGTTAGGGATCGGTTAGAAGGGTGCCTCACGTCAGTTGGGGGGGGGGGGGGCTCACTTCGCACATGCGTAAGTGGAGGGTGCCGTTCCTGCTTCTCAAGAACAGCTGGACCTATTGCACTCAGAGTTGATGCATCTTTATTGATCGGCTGGAAGGGTGGCCCGCACGATTCAATTGGAGGTTTCACATAGTACCTTCGCTCACTTTTTCACCACTCGCTCGCTCGTTTGTCACCTCAAAAGGCGTCTTACTGATTGCAGGTATTAATACCCATCTACCGATTCAAATAAATGTATTAATACCCATCTACCGATTCAAATAAATAATCAGCGCTTGGGTCTCGGGGTTGACATCCACCGCCCCAGATACGAACAGGAGTCATTTGAGTCACATCAGCGCGGGCCGATTGCAGCCACAGGAAGCACACCTGCTCAACCGTTACACCACTGCACGGCGTTTACCGTCAGCTGTCGGTTACACCACTGCTAACGACACGCCAACAGTGTGTGTACATTTCAACAGAAAGTCTCCACAGCGTGAGGACACCGCACGGTTTCCTCAGGGCTCACGACGCTCGCCGACGTTTTTCAGCACCGCCAGACCGCATTGCAAAAAGAGACAATTCTGTTGCGACAATTCTGACGGAAAGCATCTTATGCAAACATTGCGATCCACATTGTACTGCACAATGCGTTGCGCTGTATATTGTTATTTAGCAATGTGGGAAGTGTTGTGGCGGGCGGGAAGCTGAGGCGATGGGACCGGCTCGTGCGCTGCGCGTGGTGTCTCATTCTAGCACACGTGCTCCATGACCGACTGTGCCGGCGCGGCGGTCCAGATTCCTCTCCGATGTGGGTCAGTGTTCTTATCGATATTCCAGCCTGGTACTCTGCGCTGCCGCGGGCCAAAACGTGCTCATGATACACCAAATACCTGCCGCGTCACGTCCTAATCACCGCCGTCTCAGTTTCGCTCACTGGCCAGACATCTGCCCTCTAAGTCACCGAGCTTAAAAAGACTTCAAACGGAGTCTTTATTGCGACCCCTGAATTAACCCACCTGGCAACACAAACTACACAACTACAATATCCCAAAGCTAGCCCAATTAGCTCCGATCGTGGCTACGGCAGCGCAGTTCATCTCCGCATGCCGTCACCGTTTCGCCCTCGCGCGCCGTCGGGCGGAGACGAACGGCTTTCTCTGACCGCGCCGCGAGCGCCACATGCGCGTCATTAGCGCCGCCGCGGCCGTGGCCGACTCGTGCCACCGCCGCGGCCCGCGGCGGGCGGCACACTTCCCCGTGCCGGCGCGCGTCACTGCCGCCCGGCCGTCACGGTGCAGCGCCGAAAGGAGCACGGCGCCGCCGCGCTGCTCGGCGAGGCTCACCAAGGCGTTAGGGTTTGTGCACGGCGGCAGAGAGCGGCAGAGAGCATCATTGGAGTGATACGGCTGAACTCGTTGCCACAATTCGCATTATCCGCTTCATTGCAGTTCAAAACTTCGCACAGAGCTGAGCTTGACAAAGTGAGGCCCATGAAGTAGAGCACGGAAGCAGTACCTACCAAGACAGCCTCGCCTTATTCCCGGCTATCCACCGTAAGCGTTGCAGGCAGTGGGGTTCAAACCGTGCCGCTGCACTGGGTCGGCAGGTCGGGCAGCGTTACACTGGTGACCTCTGACCCCGCGGCGGCCGCCGGTTCCGGTACCGGTCACCGGCAGGTCACAGAGCTGACCCGCCGGGTCAGCGGGCCCAGCCCGGGTCGACAGTTGCAGACGGAGCGACCGGACGACGCAGGTCGTTTGTTTGCGGTGAGCACGGACCCGCAGACGCAAGGGTCACAAGTGACGACGGCTGGGGTCATTCGTGATATCGGCTGCCCCAGAAAATGCTCCTTTGTTTGAGCTTTGCTAAGAACTGCGTAGTTTATAATTCCAGCAATGGCATTCGGTCTCGAACAGCAGTAAATCCAATTTGCATCCAATTTGCATTTATCTCATCTCTCAACAATGCACGATAGGTAGACCGACGATAGTAGACCACCATTATTCACCACACACTGCACAATTGCAACGTTAAGCAAGGTCGCTAAAACCGGCGTGCCGTGTCTCTAAACAGCGCTGCAGCCACCCAGGTGGCGGAACCACTCGCACTTTCCATGGCGCTCCCGTGGGAAGGGCCGCCAGGTGTAACAGACGCCGACACCGCGACCGGTACCGACAGCAGACCTTGGCAGAGGGTAGAACTGTCACCCGGGGTCAATATGGCTCAGTTGAAAGTTCTTCTCCATTGGTCGTTTATTTTGGGTTATATTTGTGAGGGTAAGTATACCTACGTTGGACAGCTTTGAGACGACGGCAATGTCGTGAGCGACAGCGGTGGGTCCGGGGTGGTGGACGAGATGACAGCGGGTGATGGGCGACGGTAAACAGAGAACTCAGAACTATGAACGGCGGGCGGTACAGGGGAGGTGAGCGTAGGACGGTGGACAGTGAACGGTGAGCGGTATACAAAGGACAGAGGACGATGGGCGGCGGACGGTGGGAGGCAGACGATAGATGGTGAATGGTAGCCTGTGAGCGATGGACGGTCAGCTATAAGCTCCAGAGGACAGCGGACGGAGAGCGATGAACATACGCCAGTGGGCGGTGGGCGGCGGTCGGCACACACGTCTGGCCCCGTTCCCGCCCCAGTACCGGCCCAGCCCGGACTCTGGCCCAGCGGGAAGTGGGCCATCCGGGCCGAGATGCGTGCCGGATCCGGCTGCTGAGATGGATCACATCAGGACAGGAGGATCAGGGATCAGGGACGGGAGGGAGATACCCGATAGACCCCATATCTCTGAGCGAAGAGACAAATGGGATGTACTCTGGAAACACACCTTCAGATAAGAAGAATGGGGTCAGATGGGACAGCCAGGCCCACTGGCGGAGCAGTAGTCCAGGTCGGGCAGAAGGAAGCCAACGTTAACACAATGGTGACCCGGGATATTATAATTTATAATCTTGTAGGTACATTTACTTATCTTATGGATGCTTTCAAAAGTATATAGTTTGTGCCTACAGTGAGGCACGAACCTACATAACTTCTAGCAGTCTCCTACACTTTTAAACCTTTTTTATTTACAAGACCAATTCTGTGATTTCTGGCGACTACGAGGCAAACCACCTCTTCCTTGGCCCGTTTTCCCACCATTGGCGATCGCGCAAAAAGTGTCCAAAACCCCGTTGACTTAACATGGGGAAAATGAAATCGCACGTGCCACGTGCCACGAGGTTTTAAGCGAGTAGCGACCGGTGCCATCAGGTAGATCGCCTGCGGGAGCCCATACCCTGAAATTTTTACGAAGATTGAGCGATTCGTTTAGGCCAGACTCCAGTTGCCCCAATTCGTGCCACAAGGAAGCTTGTGGCAGCTCTGTGGCCACGCACCGGACCATGGCCGTTTCGTTTATGACCGACTTACTTTTTGGTCGTCGTTGCTGGGCTTCTCACGCAATTACTGATGGATGATGGATATTTACTCACGGATAAATATACGAGGCCTGTAATAGCATGTATCAGTATAGTTTGCGATAAAATATTGCTGGCATTTGTGGCGATGTGCCCATGTAGTGTTATATTTGTCTGTGGCACCTGCGATCTACCTGATGGCACCGGTCGCTACTCGCTTAAAACCTCGTGGCACGTGGCACGTGCGATTTCATTTTCCCCATGTTAAGTCAACGGGGTTTTGGACACTTTTTGCGCGATCGCCAATGGTGGGAAAACGGGCCAAGGAAGAGGTGGTTTGCCTCGTAGTCGCCAGAAATCACAGAATTGGTCTTGTAAATAAAAAAGGTTTAACACGCGCACTGCAGGGGGGGGGGGGTTGTTTTCAACCCCCCCCCCTGTGGTTTTTCGCAAATCGCCAAATTTTGCATACCTGTTCTCCCAACTTTTGCACACCTTGAGTAAAAACTTTGACCCCAGGTGACCTATGGTCAGGTCACCAGGTCAGGTCAAGTGACCCTACCTCGAAACGTAAATTTCGAAGTTTGCAATCCCACCAAGCCTACAGTTGTTGAGATATGATCGTGAAACCCACAGGAAATAGTAAAGTCATCACGAGCTACAACTTGTTTATCTCGGAATTTTTATATCGATGACCTAAGGTCAGGTCATTTTTGCGACCGGCCCATTATAAGTCAATGGGAGAAATTTCAACTTACTCTGAATGCCATCCTATGACTTCAATACGCTCAGGATCATAGTATTACAGGTCCCTGTTGGTGATTTCACCGAAACATATCACTTATGACCTTTGGAAGGTGATCTCCAGGTCATCTTAGGTCACCTGAGGTCACCAGCGGTTTTTCTTCAATAACTTGAGATTGAATAGAGATAGAGACTCCGTTCGACGTTTATCGTGTTTTTCTCGTCAATGCGGATCGAATGATATGCAACATGACCTATTTCGGTCAGGTCATGACCTTGACCTGAGGTCAAATTTTCAACTTGACCTTTCGAGGTCATATTATATATCATTCGATGCGCCTTGACGAGCCAAGAACGATGGCGTTCGAATCGATCCTCTGTCTTGTGTGCAAGACAAGTTATTCAAGAAAAACTACCGCGAAATTCCTGTTGTGAAAATCGTAACATTTTGTCTTCGGTGACCTCTGGTGACCTCGTTTTTGACCTGACCCAAAAATGATCTTAGTATTTCTTGTAGATCTCATCTCAATCTATCCAACGCCGTTTACCGCTTGTCGCTACGTTGCGCCGTTTTCGAGATCTCAGGGGGGGTTGTTTTCAACCCCCCCCCCTGCAGTTCGTGTTCGGCTCAGACCCGCTGCAGTGCGCGTGTTAAAAGTGTAGGAGACTGCTAGAAGTTATGTAGGTTCGTGCCTCACTGTAGGCACAAACTATATACTTTTGAAAGCATCCATAAGATAAGTAAATGTACCTACAAGATTATAAATTATAATATCCCGGGTCACCATTGTGTTAACGTTGGCTTCCTTCTGCCCGACCTGGACTACTGCTCCGCCAGTGGGCCTGGCTGTCCCATCTGACCCCATTCTTCTTATCTGAAGGTGTGTTTCCAGAGTACATCCCATTTGTCTCTTCGCTCAGAGATATGGGGTCTATCGGGTATCTCCCAGCTCTGTGGCAGCTACCCCTACCAGCTCTGCCACAGAGCTGCCACAAGGAAGAGGGTTTTCAGGTGTCGCGTCAATGACAAATATAACACTACATGGGCACATCGCCACAAATGCCAGCAATATTTTATCGCAAACTATACTGATACATGCTATTACAGGCCTCGTATATTTATCCGTGAGTAAATGTCCATCATCCATCAGTAATTGCGTGAGAAGCACAGCAACAGTGACCAAAAAGTAAGTCGGTCATAAACGAAACGGCCATTGTCCGGCGCGTGACAGAGCTGCCGCAAACAAAACTCACCGGCCTACTGACCGCGCTCACCAACACGTGCCGTGGGACATCCGTGAAAGGCCTGCCTTCTGTCCAGTGCCTAGTGCCAGTCCACTGCCGCAGGTTGAGGTGCCCGACACGTTGGCCGATCCTGTCTTCTGTCCGGTCTCAACTCTCAGCGTATAGGCGGGAGCTCTGGCATTCGTTGCGATTTGCTATGTGGGATGATTGATGGTGATGCAGCAGATGATGCATCATGCAATGTTATGAAACGTGACGTGAACAAAATTCGAGACCATGCTTACAATATGCACCATCTAAATGACAAAACAATCCTGTGAATTGCTTCCGTGTCCGTCAATGTGCTTGAAACGCCCGATTTATGACTCTTCATGAGCATGAATGTGATTTCCTGTTTAAAAGCTACGGGAAAAACACCCCATCAAGACGAACACAATCCACCGAAATTCATGAGAGAACTTGGAGTCAAAATCTTCCTTCTATGACCCTCTCAAAGCATAGGACGTCCCCACTGACCCACGTTTCCCCTGTGTTTCCAGGAGGGCATGGCGCCCGGAAGGAGTCGGCAGCTGCTGCCGCTGCTGCTGGCGGCGGTGGTAGCCGTGGGCTCGGCAGAGCCCAAACCGGAGGCCAAATGGCCGTGGAGCAGCGCGCCGCGCAGAGGTAAGGCACAGGGGACAGACAGGTCTGTGTCTTGACTCTTGGTCACTAATCAGTTGTGATGAATTATGGTTAAAGGTTCAACAGAGACGCACGACTACCATTCAATATCGGGTTATATTTGCTGGGGAGAGCATCAGATGCAACGCCTTTGTTTGGCATTTCTCTCGCTAGCTGTCGCCACCCCATCCGTTAAAGGTCAGGCAGCCTGTATTTGCCTCTCGTCCACCCTGTAACGGCCCCGGCCCTCCCGTTCCGCTCGCCGGCAGCAGCCCACCGTCGCTCGGCGTTCCCCAGCCCGGCCGCTGATGACTGGCAGCCGATCGGACCCGGTGATCCGCTCAGCAACGCGCCCACCTTCCAGTACGCGCCGCCGGTGCTGGCCCAGCCGCGCGCCGAGGACCGCCAGGACCGGTGGCCGGTCCGCACCCGCAACCCTCCGGTGCGCGTGGTCACCCCCAGCGGCGAGCGGCGCCGAGACGGTCCCTTCTCGGGATCGTTCTTCCAGTTCCGTCTGCCGGGCGCGCGGCGTCCCCAGCGCCGACCGCGGCCAGGCGGCGGTCTGAGCTACATCAACGGACCGCAGTTCGGTGCGCCGCAGGGCGAGCGCCGCCAGGAGGTGTACGACGAGCCAGAGTATGTCGAGGAGCCGCCCAGACTGCTGGCCGGGCAGAGCAGCATCCAGTCACCGCCCGACTTTGTGCCGCAATGGGATCCGCCGCCGGTGTTCGAGAACTTCCAGCAGGAGAATAACTTCCAGCAGCCGCAGAACTTCCAGCAAGAGAACTTCCAACAGCAGGAGTTCCAGGAGAGGCCGGAGTTCCCGCAGCAGTTCCAGGAGAGGCCAGAGTTTCCTCAGGAGCAAAACACGGTGGAGCCTCAGCGGTTTGAGGAGCCACAGCAGCAGTTCCGACCACCGCCCCAGCCAGAGCAGTTCCGACCATCGCCCCAGGCGGAGCAGCAGAGTCCGCCCTTCATCCAGGAGCTGCGAGCGCCTAACCTCCAGGGAGCTCAGCCAGAGCCACAGTCGCAGCCACAGCCCCAGCAGCCTCAGCCTCGGCCCCAGTCACCGCCTCAGACTCGGCCTGAGCCCAGACCCCAGCCAACATCCCAGCCAAAACCACAGCCCAAGCCCCAACCGAAGCCACAGCCACGTCCTCAGCCTCAGCAGCCACCACAGCCCGAGCGGCAGGAAGATGATGAGAATGAGCGTCTGGTGCAGCAGAGAAAGGAGCTAATTCGCCAGAAGCTGCAGCAGCAGTTCCTAGATCTGCGGCGAAAGCAGGAGCAGGATCGCGAGGAGGAAACGAATCAGGAGGTGGAAGAAGAGTCGCTCGATCAGACCGCCGAGGCCACTCAGTCGGAGACGTTCGTGGGCGCCCCGCCGGCGTTCGTCCGTCCCCCCTTCGACCGGTCACCGTTTGAACAGGTGGAGGCGCCGCGACGTCAGGAGATCCCGCCACCGGAGGAACCCAGCACGACCACCCAGCGCGTGGTGGTGAGCACCACCCAGCGGCAGCGGCGACCGCCGAGCCGCCGACGCCGACCACCGTTCCGACGAACCACCACCGCCGCGACCACGACGACTACAGAGAGGACGGCGGAGCCGGCAACCCGACCGACCACCACCCAGACGACCACGGAGCGCCGGCCGCCCACCTCTGCTTCCACCACAACCACGACCACCACCACCACAGAGCGTACGGAGGCTACCACTGAGGCGCGCACCTCTCCGTCCACCACTACCACACGACGGACGACCACCACCGAGCGGCGTACCATTCCGACCGCTGCGCGCAGGAGACCACCGACCGAGGACCGCCGCCGAGTGCCGCTAGCTAGTCTCCTCGGGAAGCGGCCGTCGCGCCCGGACCCAGTGCGGTTCAGCTCACGGCCTCAGAGCCGGCCCCGGCCGAGTCTGTTCAGCCGGCCCGCAGCGCTGGAACCACGGACCACCCCCACGACCACCACGGAGGCACCCACCACCACCACCACGACCCGTCGGACCACCGCCCGGCCGTCCCCCACCACCCGGCGGCCGACTCCCACTACCAGAGAGCCGAGCAGCAGTGACGACGCGCGCCAGAAGCTGCTGGAGCGGCTGTCTGCGCTGCGGGCCACCCGCCGACCGCGACCGTCCCTGGTCTCCCGTCTGCCGCTCTCTCGTGAGCCTCCCAGCCAGCGTCCTGCTTTCGTCACCGCCACCGCCGCCACCGCCGCCGCCGAGCCTCGAACGACGACTACGAGCAGACCGAGACCCCGCCGTCCGACCACAGAGCGCGTGTCCGTCCGGCCCGTCCAGCCGGTCTATACCCCAAACTCTGCACCGTTCCCCATCCAGCACACCCAGAAAGCCTCCGCGGCGGTCGTCAAGGCGCCCTACGTCCACCAGAGCGGCTACTCCAAGATCAAGATGTTCGGCATCAACGTTCACGATAAGTCACACAAGAGGAAGCCGGCCAAGTTCTACAAGAAGCCAATCTATCCGATCCGGATTGATAATAAAGTGAAGGCGACGACGGAAGCGCCGAGGACAACGACGGAATTACCGACGACAGATGCCGCGGAGACGAGCAAGGCGATCGTGGAGATCACCACGTCACTGCCTCCTACGACTGAGGCTCCGGAGGACATCGTTCAGGCGCAGGAGGTCGAGGTCGCTTACCAGGAGCCGTATGAAAGCTACGAGACTGCTCCCGCTGAAGGTGACCATGCTCACAGCCATGATGAGGACTATGATGACTACGAGGGTTTCACCGACGACCATGCTATGATGGAGAAGATGTACTTCGAAGCCGACGGCGATCCGGAGCTGATGGAGGCTTCGGGAGACGGCGAGCACTTCCACGACTTTGAGCACCCGACGGCGGACCACGAGACGGTCGGCTTCCCGGAGTTCCAGTACGAGCCGGTGCCGCCTCCGTCGCACGCGTTCCGTCCGCAGCTAGCACCGGCGCTGCCGGCCCGTCGCGCCGACCACGTGACCTACCGGGAGGGCGACGAGCCGGTGCCGCCGCCGGCAGTGCACGCTCAAGAGGCCGATATCGTCGAGGAGCGGCCCGCGCCGCCCCCACGGCCACCACGGCCGGCCGGCGCCTCCTCCTGGATGACAGGTCTCCTGTCGAGTCTGTTCAGCCGTCCGCGGGAGCCCGAGCCGCCGCGACCGTCGCCGCCCTCTCCGGTCAGCCTGCTGAGCGGCCTGTTCGGCGGCGGGTCGGCAGAGCGGCGCCCTCAGCCCGCCGCTGACCCGTACGGCTTCGCGCCGCCGCCCGACAACGATCCTCTGGCGGCCAGCGCCTCCGAGACAGTGGCGGTGACGGACGCCGACGGCGAGCCGCTGCGGCCGCCGGCCGCGTTCCGTAACGTGCCGGCTCTGGCCGGACTGTTCGCCGGTCTGCCCGCCGCCGACCGGCCGCGGTTCCCTGTGGCGGCGCGACGCTCCGACGTCCGACAGACCACCGTGCGCCCCGTGTTCTACGCCAAACGCCAGGAGAAGGACGCGCACGACAGCGCCGAGGTGTCGCAGCCGTTCGAGTACGTGAGCACCCTGGACAGCCTGCGCGGCCGGCTACCGGAGCCTGTTCTCGTCCAGGCGCCCACCGCGCCGCCCAAACTGGTGGCCACGCGCGTGCCACTGCCGTGAGCGTCCGCCGAGCGAGCGAGGCATGACAGCACGCGCGCGAACTGTGATACACACACGGCGGAGCGAGAAGGCGCGTGATGCTTCCGAACACGGAAGCGCACGCGTGAGACCGGAGGCAGCGTGAGTGATGGTCGCCCTAATTTAATGAACACGACGGGCCGTTCCGCACGGGCGCGGCGCCGCCCCGGTTCATCTGATGTGAGAACGACCGACCGGGAGGCACGTCCGCCCGGCGTGGCCAGTGTTTTAGTGACGGGGCACAGTTTTAAAGCTGGCGAAAGAGACGTTGAACGTGCGAACTTTCCGTCGAACGACGGGTTCTGTTTGTTTTGTTGTCCTAGCTGCACGCCTGCTTTTGGTGCTACCGGCTCGCGATTGGAGAGAGCAGAAGTTACGAATGACTGTATTTATAGGTAGACGGGTGTTTTTGAGTGCATGCTTTGTTCCAGTTTGTATGCGTATGTGACAGGGTGCCTGTAATGTACATAGGTATTGTGAGTTATTTTTCCTGCAAGAATTGTAAGGACATGTGTTATTGAGGCGACCGATATCATGCAGTTACGAGAGCGGTCGCTTGATCCATTTTATCTGATTTTCTACTCAGCAAACTGCCATGAACGATGCGCTGTCCCGTGTGTGTCGAAACTCGTATTAGACGGCATTGCCTGGGACCAATGAAGCAAGTTACGCGAAGTTTGAGTGAAGCCGGTGTACTATAAATAAAATGTACGCATCTAGGATCACTATGTGGTCAATTCAGCAGGGAACAATCAGCTATATGATCCAGTTCAGTGTGCATCATTCCAGCAGCTGACTCGTTTTTCAATAAATTATCGACTTTGTCAGTGTTTCTGAAATCAGTCGACCGCATCAGGCTGCAGTGCCTTTCACAAGAATGAGGAAGCCTTTGCAAGTGAGCACTCTAGGCCACCCCACGTTCAGCAAACGGTCAGTTGTTATCACCAACCCGTGTGAATTACCATTGTGAAACCATCAGTTTGCTGTTCAACGTCTTCAATCGTGCAAAACTTCCATTTGTTCCACGACAGCGCGGACGTAATTCCCGAGTAAACGCTAGTGATGATGGTGGACTTGTTACAATTATTTCAGCCAACGAGTGGGATCATCGGTAGTTGCGGTGTAATTTATGCAGAACCGCTGGACGTCTCAGTCATAACTCAGGCATCACTGCAGTGAAAGACACCAAAACTAGGCCTGGCATCGACACATCAGGCTGTAGCCATCCCTGGTTCGATCACTGCCATCCCCTACAGAGCAGAGATCAGAGTCCCGACACACTCCTTCCCATCCGTCCCGTTACGATCGCCGAGACGGGCGATCGTCTCCTCTCATCACACCCACCCACCAGCCGCCGTCATTACTATCGGAATCGGTGACCCACTCTGCGGCTCTCCCGACCTGGTGAACTGGACCGATCCCGTCTGTCCCGGAGCAGCTGGCCGGGGAGAGCCGCAGAGAGGTCACACGGTCCTGCCCTCGATCGGCTCCGTCTCCGTTTCCGTCTCCGTCTCGGCGTCCCGTGCTCTCTCAGAGGAGGTCACCGGAGCCGCTCCACACCCGGCGGAGGCCAGTGACCCAGCGCCGCCGCGCCGCGCCGACCCACTCACTTTCTCCGGAATTCGGAGGCGCGCGCGCGGGCGCCGGCCACCTCCCGGAGCTGGTGACCCACATCGCGGGGCTCCATCTGGCCACCATGTGGGTCACCAGAGCCACCGACGACCACGCAGCCCGCCCGCCGGCCATACAGCGCCGCATTTGCATCCGGCGCGCCGCGAACGGGTCGAGAGCAGTACGGACTCCAGTTCAGCGCGGTAATGTTGGAACGGTAGAACAGCGGCGTGGCCATATTGTTAGGAGCGATGCACGGCGGCACTTGGTACAGGAGTGGGATGGTGTGACAACATCCGGGGAGATTAGATCCTGGACAGGAATGAAATTGTATGCACACCGCGCAGGATATTGCACCGATAGTCATATATCAACGTCACATTAAGCCGAAGTTATGAGCGCACTGCACTGCACACTGCGCAGCAATACGCGAAACGCAGGTTATCTGCCGTATTCAGACATTTCTATATTGCTCGGGATAGACGGTATCAAAATGTAATATTCTTTAGTAAAGTCAAACTGTGCGAATGAGACGTAGAAAGACGATGGTGAAGATCTGTTGACAATAAAGAAAGGAAACAGTAAATGATCCTGAGTAACTGTTTGACTATCTAAACATACACTTGTCATAGTCATCGAGGGTTGAATATAAGCAAACGCGATTTATGTCGCGACAATCTAAATTCCCATCGTGCCTCTCACATCGTTCACAACGGTGTTAGGTGCCAATGAGAAAATGCAGTCTCCTAAACGTATTACCTGTCCGTTTTGTAATGTGACGTGCACTTCTTCCTTCACGTATTTTGAACAATTGTTCAAGGCATTTCACTCCATAAGCCTGACAATATGCTGTAAATCCACACTCGTTTCGTAACGTTTTGACGGCGCACCAGGACTGCGACTCGCCGGGCAGCGCTGCACGTGACCCCCGATGGGAGACCGTCCGTCCGTCCACCCTTACGGAGAGAACGCCCGTAGGTCAGAAGTCAGTTCATATCGGACCGTATCATGACTCATGACTCGTGATCAACTAGGAAGGTCCAGGACCCGGATGCAAGCCCCTTTTATTGCACCTACACTATGTAATCATTCATACAATATCATCCCCATTTTTACCCAAAATCACTACGCTTCCATGACACGTCTAAATCGATTTAACGAAAGTTAACGTGCGTTTTCACGTGCGTTTCGCCCCGCGCGGCATGGTCGAATGCCGCTCTTTGCAAAAACAGTGTTGGGTCTCGTCCGAAGTGTCCAATGTCGCGTATATGATGTGTCGATATGAAAGTTACATGTTGCAAATACACGCTAAAATTAAAAAAGAGTGAAATTTACACAGAAAATAGATGACCAAGCATGGTGTAATAAAAAGGCATTCTTAAAATATTTGCACAGAAACAGCTTCAGCTCTTGGTTTATTACTTGATTATAATGTGCGGGGGTTTAACTCGAATCCATCACGAGCCCCCTTAGGGATGCTCAGAAGAAACATTTAACATAAACGCTTCTATAGCAAAAGAAAGGCAGCGTAAGCAAGAATCGTTCTAGCATACAGAGAAACATAAGCAAGCCATGCAACACGAGCAGCTACGCACAGCTCTCGGAACCACTCACAAACGATCTCAGTCAGAAAACAGTTTGTCCTCGGTACACGTAAGTAACCACTCATAGCGATAGGTGTTAGTTAACACGTCCTGGGCCCCGACATCGCGCCCTGTTGATTAAGCCCTCAACGGCAAAATCATGGTCAAAACAAGCCATCCATTACAGTCTTCCAGGGCTGACGTAACGTCGTATCTTCACCCACCCATATCTCAGTTTCGGGGCTCATCATCCAAAAACGAATATCTACACAGCAGCAGCACTAAGCAAAAGGCGACATCTACGCTGCGCCCTCCCGCCCCTCGCGGCGCCCTCTGCCGTCGCGGCTGACGGGGCGCCGTCCTCACCGTTCGCGTTCCCTCCTCCTCAGTTCCCGGCTGCGGCGGCGGCGGCGGCGGCCCGGACGCCCTGCTCGCCGGCGGCCGCCCTCTCCGCTTCCAGCACGGTGGTCTCCAGCCGGGCCGGCGCGGTCAGCATCAGCATCCAGAGGGTGTCCTGCGGCGGCCGGGCGCCGCGGCGCTCCTCCCACTGGCGCAGCACGGCCTTCAGTTCGGGCTGCACGCCGCACACGGTCTGCTCGAGCCGGCCGGTGCGCGCGGCCACCGTGCTGCGCTCCAGCGCCGCCTGCAGCCGGCCGGCGGTGCGCAGCTGGCGCCGCTGGGAGGACAGCTGCTGGCGCAGCCCGGCGCGCAGCTGCTCGGACTCGGAGGGGCTGGCGGTGTCCGGCAGGGCCAGAGCCGACCGGAGCTCGGCGGCGGGGCCGTCCGGGTCGGCAGACTGCGCCGCCTGGTGGGCCGTGCGCTCCATCAGACGCTGTTGGAAAAAGGAACAATCTGGTTAGAGGGGAATCATGGGAATACTAACACGTAATGGAAACATTATAATCATTCCAAGAAAGACAAATAACCTTTTGTAATGCCTAGCAACAATGGGTAGCTAAGGCGAGTGTCAGTTATAGCGCACCTTCAACATAGATACAAATCGAAATAGATCTGAGCTACCATTAGAGCTCCGATAAATGCTAATGTCGACCTCAATGTAACCAGTCACATCAGCTCCTTGACACTACTGTGAGACCCGTTAACACTCACCAGCCTGTGCTCCACCTGCCGGGCCCGCTCGTCGGCCTGCTGCCCGGCCTCGGCCAGCGTGTCGCCGGCGGCGGACACCGTGCCGCTCTCGGCAGCCACGGCGCGGCGCAGCCACTCCAGTCGCGCCAGCTGCTGCACGGCGGCGGCGCGCGCCTCGGCCTGCCGCTCCAGAGCCGCCTCCTGCCGCTCCACCTTCAGCGCGTGGTCGCCCACACAGGCGCGCGCCAGGATACCCTGCACGTACTTCTCGGCGGCGGCGGCCAGCGCCTGCCGCAGCTGGGCGTCTCGGTCGGCGGAGGGGGCGGCCGGCACCGGGCGCGTCGCCACGGCCGCCCGCTGCGCCGGGTCGGAGCACAGCCGCTCCGCCAGCTGGATGGCGTCCCGGAGCCCTGCCGTCTCGGCGGCGGCCGCCTGCGCGCCCCGTTTGGCCGCCGGTAGGAGCCGCTCCAGCCGGGTCAGCTGGGCGGCCAGCCGGCGGTGCGCCGCCTCGCCGCCCAGTCGCGCCGGCCGCAGGTCCAGCAGGCTGCAGTCGGGCTCGGCGCCGCCGCGCTGGGCCGAGCTGAAGGCGCGCCGGGCCAGCTCGGCCAGCCGTTCGCTGACGCGCTGCTCGGTGGCCTCCACGCCGTCCAGCGGCGTCTGACCGAGCAGCGCGCCGCGCGACTCGGTCAGCTGGCCCGTCAGCCGGCGCGCGGCGGTGGCCAGGCGCGCGCGCCCGTCGTTCAGCGCCAGCTCGTCGGCTGCCAGCCGCTGCCGGAGTCGGTGGCGCGTCGCCCGGGCCGCCGTCTGACTCTCTGTCAGCTGACTCAGCTCCATCGAGAGGCTCAGGTTCTCATTGCAGAGCTGGTCTCGCAGGCGGCTCAGTTTCTCCAGCCGGGCGCGCTGCGAGTCCAGGTCAGCAGTGAGCTGCTGTACCTCCAGCTGCAGGTCCGTCTCCTCCTCCTCCAGGGCAGCCAGCGCCTCGTCCAGCCGCGCGCCCTCGAGGACACCCTCCGACTCCTTCACCCGGCTGTAGGCGGTCCGCTCGGCGTCTGTCAGAACATTGCTGGCGGACACAGAGCGGCACAGCCACTGGAGGAAGGCGCCCGCGCCGCCGCCCAGCTGCGGGGAAGAGGAGAAATTCAGTCAGTGCCATTGTTAACCTTGAACTTACCTCATGTTGATTCTTCAATGTATGTAGGTTGGATGTATCATGTTATGCTGAGGCACTACATTCTGTATACTCATATTTGTGATGAGTGTTATAACTAGGCTGGGCCTTTCAGCTGGCCTTGTGGATGCTATTGCACCAAATTTTTGTCAGGGTCATGTGCCATATTTTGAGCAGTGAAGACTGAAGTTATGGTGGAGGTGCGCCACAATTTTCAGCTCAATCCTACCATTACTGTTACGCTGGACGAGCCCAGCATGGCCTGCATCAGTATGTTTCCAAGCCTAGATCAATACATTGCACGTACTAAGGGTATAAAAGTACAAATTAAACATTTTAAAGAATATCAAAATGGTAATATTACTAAGTGCTCGAGCGAGGAACATATTGAATATAATTAGATAAATAAAAGAAGTTGACCTTTTCCTCGACATCAAAAATGTAAAAAGCCGAATAATATATTTAAAAAAAAAAACGGTGAGCTTTCGGCCACTGGCCTTTATCAAACCAACGTGATAACAATGTTAAAAGACGATCCTGTGAATAATCTGTCTGCCATTTTTCAAAAACCGAAGATCATGATATTTTAGGAAAGGCGCTACTCATAAGGGCAAACTATTTGATAGACCGATTGTCTACATAGTGTCCGGTGTACGTAACATACATAATATACAATTGTACACGTAGCTGTCAAACACACATCGTATGGAAGGTATGTACACTAACGCCGATGTACATCACACACATAACAAAATAATATACACATACACATATTAATGGATTGAGTTGAAAAGGCTACACGCTCACAAGATTGAAGATACACATGATACAGGCGCTTACATGATCGGCCACGACGAAAGATTTGAGTTTATGTGCGGGCGGTTTGCTTTTATAAGTAGGGATTCTGCGATTTTTCTGTCCGGGTGGTCTTTGGAGCGATAAAGGACGCGAACCTGAAGAGGAATGGATGATTTGTTTAGCGGCGCGCCGGGGTGGTGCTCACGGAAGTGGTCTCCCATCGGGGTCCCTTCGGATGCGCTCAAGGCGTCTCTTAAATGTTCGTTAAATCTTAGTCGAACAGGTCGTTTTGTCTCGCCAATATATGTGCCGTCGTCACCCTTTCCTTCACACAACTTACAATTTAGCCTGTAGACGACGTTCTTCTGTGTACAATCACCTGAAAAATCTGATTTACACATGTTGCATCGTGGGCCTCCAGGGCAGATAGGTTTAGATAGAGATGATCTAACCAGTTTGTTCCGTAGCTTTTGGGGGTTCCTCCATGCTATCCTGACAGCTAAGCCAGATTTCCTAACTTTACTTTGAATTTTGCATAGCAGTTCTTCATCTATGTACGGTAAACATAAGAAGCCATCTTCGCCCTTGTCTCGACTAACTTTACCCATCCTGGATCTGGACCCTTGCTGTTTGACCTCCCACAAGAGCCTTCTAAGAACTTTCTCTGGGTACCCATTTTGAACCAACAATGTCCAAATCTTATCTGTACTCGCCCTCTCTTTAGCACTGCTCTATCTAAACCTATCTCTATCTAAACCTATCTGCCCTGGAGGCCCACGATGCAACATGTGTAAATCAGATTTTTCAGGTGATTGTACACAGAAGAACGTCGTCTACAGGCTAAATTGTAAGTTGTGTGAAGGAAAGGGTGACGACGGCACATATATTGGCGAGACAAAACGACCTGTTCGACTAAGATTTAACGAACATTTAAGAGACGCCTTGAGCGCATCCGAAGGGACCCCGATGGGAGACCACTTCCGTGAGCACCACCCCGGCGCGCCGCTAAACAAATCATCCCTTCCTCTTCAGGTTCGCGTCCTTTATCTCTCCAAAGACCACCCAGACAGAAAAATCGCAGAATCCCTACTTATAAAAGCAAACCGCCCGCACATAAACTCAAATCTTTCGTCGTGGCCGATCATGTAAGCGCCTGTATCATGTGTATCTTCAATCTTGTGAGCGTGTAGCCTTTTCAACTCAATCGATTAATATGTGTATGTGTATATTATTTTGTTATGTGTGTGATGTACATCGGCGTTAGTGTACATACCTTCCATACGATGTGTGTTTGACAGCTACGTGTACAATTGTATATTATGTATGTTACGTACACCGGACACTATGTAGACAATCGGTCTATCAAATAGTTTGCCCTTATGAGTAGCGCCTTTCCTAAAATATCACGATCTTCGGTTTTTGAAAAATGGCAGACAGATTATTCACAGGATCGTCTTTTAACATTGTTATCACGTTGGTTTGATAAAGGCCAGTGGCCGAAAGCTCACCGTTTTTTTAAAATATATTATTCGGCTTTTTACATTTTTGATGTCGAGGAAAAGGTCAACTTCTTTTATTTATCTAATAATATCAAAATGGATACAGGTCAAAAGCCATTTTCCTTGTTACGCCTTACCTCAAACATCCAGTCCCAGTCCGATGGGTTGAATTTTGAGGCTTTAGGATACCCAACTTCATTCAAAATGCGCACGAAATCTGCAGAAGACATGTCTGGCGTGTTCAATGAAGAAACGGAGAATATTAATACCAGTTTTTTTTTACTTAAATCTAAAATTAAACAGTTTTACTCTCAGCTTTTCCTGCGTTTTGTTGTGTTGTATTTGTGTTTGCGCCGTGAAGTGGCGCATAACACTTCAAATTTGCCGCTCTAATTTAGCTACCATATTTGTGCTGCCCAAGTGAAGTTTTCTTTTAAATATCACTTTACCGGAAAATTGGATGATATATATAATTCAGTGATTGGATGAAAACAAGACACAAAATAAAACATTTGTAAATACTAATACCAGTATATCATCAATGAAAAGAACATACAAATATAGGCAACGTACAGTGAAATGAAATGTAACCTTCAACAAATGCAACAAATGAACATCCTAGCAATGCTGCTACCTGGCGGCAGACTGGCGAACTACAGCTGCGTGGCCTCGCCGGAGGCTGTGATGCCGGCGCCGGCCGGTCCTCCGATCTCAGGCGCCGGCCGGCCGCCGGGTCCTTTCCATACGAGTCGGGACGGTGCATTGACGGCCGTCCTATCTCTCCCATCTGGAACGTGCGTCGTAGGCTGACACATGGTAAGTTTCCACTCGCTTGCAGGCGTATGTGGCTACCTGCTCTTCACCCGAGTGGGGTATGTGATTGACTCCCGGTGAGAGACACATGCCAACTCGTGCAGCATTAGCGGTCTTTCACAGTTCACAGCGCGTTACCCCGGGCTCTCACGCTCTGGATACCCTGCAGTCACACTCACCACACGGTTTACTGGCGATCGGTCGGTCGGTCGGACAGGGGCTATTGCGTCAAACTGGCCCACACCAGTACCTGCCGGCGGTCTGTGTGGGGTGCATATACGAACTACCGGGAGCCGCCGCCGCCGCTCGCCGTCGCCGTCCACCGGTCCGAATCTGACCGATATATCAGTGGTTCCGATCGTTACCGGCGTTTTTGTGTACCGTCAAAAGCCGTGCCGTGTCGCCCGTTGGTGTCAGTGTTGGTCGGTGTCGCTGGAGTGTCAGTGTCGCACCAGTGTCACGTCGTCAGTGTCAGTGATACGCATACGGTGCAGCGCGCGGTCGCTCGGTGTGCGATCGATCGAACGGTGTGACTGAGGCCTGTAAGTCCGACATACTCGCCGTGCCGGTACCGACGGCTGGCGGTCCGCCCCGCTCGGGTGCGCGGTGTCGAGTGGCCAGACCCCTCACGGGAGGTCGGGTCAGGTCAGGTCCGAGATGAGGCCGCTGTGCCGAGCTGTGTCGTTCCTCCCGCTGCTGATGGCGGTACCGCAGCAGCAGCAGAGGCGGCCCGCAGTCACTGCCGCCGGCTCCGAGAGAGCTCCTGTGAGTACACTCGCTTCGCACAAGCATCGTTCAACACTCGGCGAGTAGTGCAGGCTCGAATCCGTGCTGATTGGCGTTCTTATCCTATCCAAGGTTCAGTTGTCACCCAAGGATTACGTTGTCACCATCGGGCCTCGCCTTATCCTTTTCAGGACGCTTGCTTCATCTCCTTACGCATGATCAGATGGGACCGACTTAAAACCTCGGCTCCTCGTATCTTGGGAACGCTTGCCTCGTGCTTAGACAATCATTATCAGAGAGCAAAGTAACCACTTTGTTATGTGCAACAAACAGAGCTGGGCGCGTTCCTCGATTTTCGGTAGTGCGTTAGCGTTCCTGCGTTCCTCCGGCCGCGGTTAGTGCGTTCCTGGAATAGCGTTCCTCATTTTTTTTTTCGTTCGGTGCGTTAGCGTTCCTGCGTTCCTGCGTTCCTCCCTCAAAAATACCGCCGAACCACGCGGCGCGGGCCCAACCAAACACGGGGCGAATCGATCACAGAATACCCAGAATGGCGACGTGGGGCCGAAAAGCAACTCGACATCTCTTTTCCGAATCGAATATCTGAAATACGTTTTACCAATATCATCCGTAGGGTTTTCAACAAAAATACGACCTGCTTAAAAACAATAGTTTAGTTAAAAGATGTATCTTAGTAAAAGTTATAATATTTACTCTACACATTTAATGCCTGAAACTGAATCGAATAGTAAACATCACCACTAAAAATCTTTAATGCCTGAAACCGAATCGAATAGTAAACATCACCACTAAATCTAAGCAAGCCTTCCTCGATTCGACTGACAAGTGGCGCACCGGCAAACACACGTACTCGAGATTCAAACATTTGACACAGAGGTCATTGGCAGCAATATAATTTTTCGGGTGGTTCCGCAAGAACGCAGGAACGCTTCAAAATTTCGGGTGGTGCGTTCCTCTTACTTGCGTTCCTTTGAAAAACTTTGCGTTCCTGCGTTCTTGCGTTCCTAAAAAGGGCGGTGCGTACGTACGGAAGAACGCAGGAACGCACTAAAGGAACGCACTTGCCCAGCTCTGGCAACAAATGAATATTTCTAGTACTCTACCACAGCGCAGTTTGAGCTGCTAGTCTTGTTACCAGTCAGAGCAAAAATAAACATGCTTGTTTGTTTGTTTGTTTTGTTGGGTTAGGCCCTTTCGGTCGACAAGACCATTGCAGAGCCGGAAGGATGATAGGAATTAGGGGGAGACATTGGTCTGGGCAGGCACCTTAGAGAGTCGCCGGGGCTGAGCCCGTCCATAGGACAGGCCGACCAGCCCCCCAAGCACTCTCTGCACCCGGCTACGGGGTGCAGCTCCCTCGGGAGCAGCGGTGCCGCTCCAAGGGAGCAGCCCGCATGAGATAAAGTTGCCTGTCCAGCCCGGAAGGGGGTTGTGGCTTGGAGGAGAAGGATTTCAGTATCCTGAGGATAGAAGCACGGATAGGTGAACATGCTTGTGCCATTCAAGCATTTTCCTCCACCAGTCGCTCGGACACTAGCGTCAGTAGCGTGTGCTTCATAACCACATAAAAACAGCAGCTCCAACTCCCCGCCTGCTACCAAGGTCGCGGCGGGCCATGGGTACCGAGTTGTCCTGTCTGCCCAGTGCCCACCTCTATCTCGACCCGGGCGCCCCGCCCACCTCTATCGATCCCCGGATAGGCCCCTGCCGACGGCCAACTTGGCTCGGTGCCAGCGGACCAGCCGGACCGGGCCGGGTGGAAGGTGTGGGACCGTGTTGGGCTGTGTTTTGATCTCGGCTGCCTGGGTGAGTGTTGAGTGATAGGAGAGACTCACTGACAAGCGGTTGCTTACTTAGTGCAAGGTGGTTGGTGGTTGTCAGTTGCTTCTCGGTGTTGGTAAATCGCACTGGATTGGATTCATGTTCATCGGTGTTGGCTGTTGAGTGTTTTGCCTGTGAGGAGCATGTGGAGCACACGTGGACTATTATCTGTTGCTCGCCGCCTTGATTGAGCACTGTGCAGCGTGCACGTGGTTGCTCACTGTACCCGGCGTCTTGCACACTGCGTACCGGGAAAAAATAAGGCCGGAGGCGACAGGTTGGGATCGCAGTAAGGAAAGAAACGCACTGGTAATGCATAGAACATCGGATATCAGAAAATTGATTTGGATAATTGATATACACACTCACAATCTGTCATTATTTTCTGTTGTAGATAAGACGGGACCATGCTGGTCCGCGGACTAGTACGGTTACAAGCTACTACCGGGCCTAAGCCCGGTTGGCCTCGTTTGTTGACAAACGTCGTAAACAGTTCAGCCGGTTTACCGTGGCCTGGCTGTAGAACGCTCAAAACGACGGTGAGTGCCCGGTACCGAGTGCTTGGTTTGTCGATTGATTAAAGACATTTTCAGTGAGCTGCACTCGCCCTGCACTAATGCGAGATCAAGATGCATACTTGGACATGAGCTTGTGTAGATGATGGATCCGCAATGGAACCAGCGCGATATACAAATTTAAACAGCAGTCTTCTCAAACCTAAAACTTCACCTTTGCTAATAATGAAACGGGGTTATCAAACTAACTGCATCGCTCGAGAAACGAACCTTACGAATAGGTAGACGTGGATGACTAACACAACAACCAGATAGCGCATTGTCTGTCTAACCAATGCCAGGCTAACATTGAATAACAAATCAGCTGCATGCCACACCATGCATGAACTCCTGCCCAAACCTGATCATATCAGCCAAACAGCCTCCCTCAAGACCCAGTGAAAGTCACACTTCACTCCCCTTTCAGTGTCTCGTCCGGTGTGGCTGGCCACAGAGGCTCTCCTAGTCCCCTGTGTCGTGCCACGCCCCCGTGACCGGTCCTCGCCTGACCTCCAGGGCCCTGACGCCAAGAGGATGAAGCTGAGCGACGACGAGCGCACGGAAAAGCTGGAGCCGCTGCTGAAGGCCGGCTGGAGCAAGACAGACGGACGGGACGCCATCGAGAAAAAGTTCCAGTTCAAGGACTTCAACCAGGTGAGGACAGGTTTTTATCGGTGCTTCGGGTGATAAAATATGCGAGTATTGATGTCACTGATAAAGTCACGAAATAATAGGCGTGGAAGGGTGACGAGCGCAGAGCAGAGATTTTCTTTCCGAAAGACCGAATAGCCATCAATGATAGCTCCACATAAAATAGCGACGTGAAGTCACCGACCATTTTTGAAAATGAGTCGAACCTTAGCCCCAAGGCATATCAAATCGAACGAGTTGAGTCATTCATCTCCACGACGGCTGCATACTGATTCGATTACAAAATCTAGCAAATGTTTGCTAACAATTCATCATGCAACCGTCGCCCTCTCCCCCATCCCCACACCCTCACATAAACCCAGCACCGCTCCCTTTCCAGGCGTGGGGCTTCATGAGTCGCGTGGCCCTGAAGGCGGAGAAGATGGACCACCATCCGGAGTGGTTCAACGTCTACAACCGTGTGGACATCACACTCTCCACCCACGACTGCGGTGGCCTCAGCGGCAAGGACGTCACCCTGGCCAGCTTCATCGACTCGGTGGCAGGCTCTGGAGCGCAGTAGGACGGCCAAGGGCAGCGGGATCACCCCGAGCAGTGGGACGGCCAAGGGCAGCAGGATGACATCGAACGGCAGTGGAATGGCGAGAGACCCAGGTGACTGGTGTCATGAGGTGACTTGTGAGGCACTGTAATGTGCGGGGGACGAGGAGTGACATGCTGGAGAGCCGCGAGGTCACGAGGGCCTGGTGACAGATACATACGGTAAGGAAGGCAGGGCGGCAAGGTGGATGCATTGGCAAGAAAGTACGCTTGCCCCACGGCAGAGTGGTCAGAAAAGAACAGGGAAATAATACTCGTTTTTAGGTGGACGTCTTGTTGTTGCGCTTGTGTTGACGCGTTCCTGCCAAACTGGGACCAACAGCTTCATCGCAGCTTTATTTTGCGAACGTTGTGTAAATAAATGTTGCAAAAGTATTTGCATGACTGGAAAGGAAATATTGATTATGTGATGATGCATCACAAAAGGCACGCTAATATGGGAGCCCCTTCTGAGAGAGATACGGATAAGTATCAAACGAAATGTAGCCCTGCCTAACTGCAACACATGTTAATTCCCCTGCAAGATAATATTCACAAGCTTAAAGATAAGAATCTTGGCTATCATTCTTCAAACACTTGAACAAGACGGGACTGGGAATAGCCGACAACCAAACACACCACCGTGAACGCCGCGCCGGTCCAGTCCACTGAGACCCGCACTTCCTGGCCACCCTCCCCCTTCTGAACTTCAAAAAACCTCCTGAATTAGTGGGACCTCACACGGGCGGGGCTGCCCTGGAATCTCGGCTGACGAGAACTCCACACTGAAGGATCACTTGGCATGGTTACAGTCTGAGCAGGCTCGGAGATCACGTGGGCTTGGAGACGATAAGTACAGCAGACGGTACCAGACCTGCGGGAGAAGAGAGAACGGGTCACAGGGGTAAGAGAGCACGACAGACGCGCGGGGCACTTAAGCGTATGACAACATCAACATACGGCGATTGAATAATTGGTGAGTTAGGTATGGTTTAAAACCTAGCTAAGTAAACCAACCATTCAAAAATTACGCAATCCTGAAACTGCACTTGCGTATGAGAGGCTGTTAAGTCATCATATCAATTAGCGTTATTCAACTATTATGTCTCCCCCATTCATCTATTCAATTAAGTAGCCTGACACCACCTTATAGCTCACTCCAAAGAACATGCACGTCAAAACCCTCAGAAGAAACTGTCAAACCTTTAACACTGAGCCAAATCGACATCCCCTTTATTTAGCTACTACAACACTGCTGCATATTTCAAAGGGAACGCCCATCCCGACCTGCGCCATCGCGATCTACGGCGCCATACATCCCCAAGAGGATCTTCCCGAATCCGGAACTCTCCGAGCACCCCCTCCATCTCACCGAGCGAGTCGAGCGGCCGCTCGTAGTCCTCCGCGGTGAACACGCGCCGCGGGAAGGCGGTGCCGAGCGTGAAGGCGCCCTGGCCGTCCGTGCGGTTCATCTCGACGTAGAGTCGGACTGCCGCCAGCGCCTCCTTGGCAGCGAACTGAGAGGTGAGCGCCGCGCCGTCCGTGAGGCGGATCTGAGGGCGAGGTTAGAGCGGGTGAGAATCAAACCGTCTGTGAGACGGGTCTGAGAGAGGGAGGTAAGAACGGGTGAGGATCGACCCGTCCCGTATTCGTCAAACAAATCTGAGAGAGGGACAGAAGGAGGTTACATTGGGTGAGAAAGAATAGAATCGTCTGTAATATTATAATCTGTGAGAGGGCTGTTAGAACGGCAGAGAATCAACCCGTCTGTGGAGTGTGGGATGAATCTGCGAGAGGGAGGTTAGAGCGGCAAGTGAGCCCTGGCCTGTCGGTGAGACAAATATGCAAGGAAGAGTGTTTAGAGCGCGAAAAGAGCTGACCATTGTGACACAAATATCAAGGGAGAGGAATATTACGATTGCATTCCTAAACCGCCCTGCGATGTCGAAGTCTATGAGTTGACCTCACCTGTAGCCGGGTCATGGTGTACTCCTTCTTGGGGGCGGCCTCGGCCGGCTGGGTCGCAGGGGCGGCGGCGGGCGCCGCAGCAGCAGAGGCGGCGGGTGCGGCGCCGTCCATGTTAAACTTCTGCCGCCGGGCCTAGCGAAACGACAGAGTGAAACGGTGAGATAACGGAACCGTGTCACTTTTCACACGATTCGGACTGTAAGGGACACATATTCATCTGAGATAGAAAACTTTTATCAAGATGAATGTGACGAATGTGACGGCAAAGCCCACAGTGAAGATGGCACGTCCTAACCACGACACTGGGCAGCATAGGTTTAACTCCATTTATCAGGATCCGTATTACGCCTATATCACAATCACATGAGGGAGAGCACGGAATCCGTTTGGCATGAAAAGTACTTATTATTTTCCTGCTCATTTAGCCTATATAGGTGATCGGAAAAAATGACGCGACTTACGAGTTTGTCGGCCTCGATTTGTTTTTTGACGCGCTCTCTGGCCAGTCGGTCCTCCATCTTTTCTCGCCGCCGTTCCTCGGCGATCTTCTTCATCTCAAGCTCTTCCATTCTGCAAAATTCGTAAATACTCATTTGACGATTAACAGAGAAAATACAATAAGTACCTACTTACAACAAATCAAAGCAATAAATCAGTAAACGCACTATGAAAAAAGAAATGGCAGGATTTTAGGTGAGCATTTTGAGGGTTATAATATTTACAGCATATCCAGCTGCCTTTAATCATTTTAAATTATTCTTTAGAGCTGCATTTCAATTTCGTACCGTCTCTTCGCATCGACGATTTGCTTTCCTGATTCCATTCTCCTCTTTTCTTTCTCTATTGCTTCTTTCTTTTCCTTTTCCTCTCGCTCTTTCCTCCTTTGCTTGATCTTCTCTTCTAATTCTTTCGCCTTGGCAGCCTTTTCTTCTTCAGATAGCACCCTTCTGAAAAAAGAGCGGGCGATATGCATGGCAGATCGTTTGGGAGTTGTTTTTCGCCGACTATCTTGCTGAAACAGTTGTGGACTAGGTCCATCAAAATTTAATTCGAATGTCTCGGATATATGAAGCCGAAAGCCAGAGCATGCACTAGAAAGATTATGTTGCGCAAACGCTGACGTCCACTGTACAATTATGGAAATATCACGAATCATTGTGATAAGGCCAGACGAAAGTGGTTTTACTTACAGCAGTAAACCACATAAAACATTCAATAACAATCAATAAACGGTGCCTTGAGCACCACAGCTTTTACTAGACGTGGAGCTGTAATGGACAGCGGGGTACACAGCCACTCACTGCGGCTGTTGTCCCTCCCCGGCGGCGGCCTCGGCTGCTCCCTCTCCGGCGGCGGCCTCGGCCGCCCCCTCCGGCAGCGGGTCGTCAATGTCCGGGTCCTCTGAGTGCTGCAGCAGCCTGCCACAACACAAACACAGCTGAGACACGACACACGCTAAACAAATCTCAGTGCACGAGTAGACAGAGGCAGAAAAACACATCACCTGCTGACCGACGCGATCAGCGAACTCAGGTTAGAGTTTCAACGAATTTTGGTGCACGAGACGAGTAGAGAGCAGCAGGCGAATAGATCACCAAACATCTGACATGATCAGCGAATTTAAATGGTTGTACATGTGAATCCCTCCCTGGCAAATGTCGAAAGCTGTCGATTTTGACAGGTATGGTTGCGGTTGGTGGCAGGCCGTAGCCAGGCGAAGTCAGTGAGGGACCGGCCGTGCGCAGTTATGTACGCACGGTCAACTTTGGACTCCAGCCATAGAACCGGGCACCGGCGATATGTTCGGCATCATGACCGATTGAAGCCGTTCGAGGACAGAGGGGAGTGTTTGGGGGCTCCGCCGCCGGCAGGCAGTGCACCAGCCGGGGAAGAGCGAGAAGATGGACAGCGCAAGCCATCAGACGAGTCAAGCGACTCCTCCCCGTCACTGGACGAGGAGAGGACGGAGCTATCGTCGTCAGCGTCGGACGAATCGGACGAGGAAGCCGAGGCAGCATCTGGTGTCCCACCTCCCCGTCGGGACAGCCGGCAACGCAAGCCGGCGTCCAGATGGCCGGAGGGCCAGTGGACGCAGTAAGACCGGCGGCTCCTGGGGGGGGGGGGGGGGGAGAGGACGGGAAGAGGAAAATCTACGAGGAGGGGAAGGTGTGAGAGGCGAGCTCCAGCCTTCCAGGCTCGAGAGCCTGCCTCCGCCTATGGCGGCCGCCATCACGTGACCTGCGCCTCGGAGGTCGCGGGGCGCCGCCCGGTGGCGGCCAGTCTTTGCTCGGTGAGTGACGCGCGCGGATCTCACACCGGAATTGCGCGATCGGATGGTAGAGGGCAGGGTCAACGAAACAAGCTTCGCTTAGCGGTGGCTCTGTCCTTGTGAATCCTTCCATTCAAAAGGTTCGGGCTAAGTTTATAAAAAAAAACGGACATGACTATGAAATACGAGGCTTGTATCAGCTCAATCTACAGATCATATAGATAGACTAATGGCTGGATCACCGCTGTCCCGTACTTTACTGGGACGCAGAAACATAACTGGCAGCCAATCAGCACAAACAAAATCGGCTTCAGATTCTAGCTGAGGCACTATCCACATATTTGACGCACATATCCACTGCATGTACATTGTGCAGTGTGCACCAATGCAGCATATGAGCACTCTATTTGGTCGAGCAGCATCGTAATCCATCCCATTTTCCGACTTAATCTAGCGTGTAATGCAGCCCCTGCCAATGGGGAGTGCCAGATCAATGCTGGCTCATACTAGGCTAGGCTCTTCCCATGCCAACCTGTGTGCAGCACAGAGCCCCCCCCCCCCCATACTGGGCCAAAAGGAGGGCAGCTTTTCAGCCACGAATCACACAAGAATGTTTCAGGCAAAATTTTGGGCAGCTTAGGGACTCAAGACAGTGCTTTTTGTTAACACTATCAGAAGCATCCTAATGCAAATGTAGGAATGTGCAGCATAGCCTTTAGCAGATGGTTATGCTGGTGGATCTGGCTGGCGAGGAATGAAGAAATGTTTGGTGGCAGCCCCAAGAAATGTTTGGTGTATGCAATGGTGAGCATAACAGAAAACCTACCACTCCATTGCTGCTTCAGCTCCTTTATTTCCTGTCAGAGCAAGAGCTTTCTCTCTGAAACAAACAAATAATACTGTTATAATTTTCACTATCCAAAACACTTTATTTCTTCCAGCAGGAGTGATTATGGAGAAACATTTTATGACTGTATAGTGAACAGTCACTCTCATTTCTTCACACAGAATATGAATGCAACCAAGGCTTTCTGCATTACATGCAAGTAAAATCATAGCATGCTTTTACAATAGGTAGCCGGTACGGTAGGTATGCAGTACAAGATAGAGGCTAGATTTTCTTACGCCCTATTTTTTGGAAATCCCATTTCCAAAAGTGTATCCATGTTAAGCTCTTGTGTTCAAGAGTTCAGACTTGAAGAGAACAATCAGCCTGAAAAAGAGCATTACCAGATTAATCATGATCAACACAGACACTAGACAGTTCAAGTTGCAGTGTCCATTGCCCATGCCCCACACGCCATAGATTTGGAAAAAAAGAAAAACTTAAAAACTGCCTGAGCCTCATAAAAAAATACAGAACATTGGTCTTTGTTCAAAGTTCCTGCCACTTCAAAGTTCAAAGTGCAAGGGTAAAAACGGACGCCGGTGAAAACAGGGCGCCGGAGGGCATATTAGTCACGTGACATTTGGAGCTTCTCCCCCTCCATGGGCCTTCTATAAGCCAAACGTCACGTGTAAATTTCACGAACCTTGATCAAATCGCCCCAGGCGCCCTGTTTTCACCGTCGTCCGTAAAAACAGGTGATGCAAACTCCTCTAAATTGACAGAAAATGGGTAGATCGGAGTAAAACCACTGTCATCAAGTTAGATTTAAGTGAATCCTAATCTACAATCAGATTCACAGCCTGGCAATTGGTAAACCCCTCCAATTAGACTTGGTATATCAGTAGGCGGAACTATGGTCAAGCGTACCCATTTTCGGGAACGCATTTTCGTTCCCATGTTTGGGAACGATAAACCCAAATATGGGAACGCCATGTAGGCATTATTTAAAACAAGAAAAAGAACCGTTAAATGACGTCCAAAAAATATAAAACGATCGTGAACCGCCTGATAGTTGTCTCAATATTGTTGGGAAAGAGTTTGATATTGTAAGGCCCATCGTAGTTTCAAATCGTTCCCCTATTTCTAAAGCAGTCCATCACCCGGGCCGCGAGCCCAAATTTGGGAACGCTCTCGTACACTGGCGCTGCAAGCGTTCCTTATTATGGGAACGGCGTACCCAAAATTGGGAACGATTTCACCGACGCCTTTCAGGGGCTCTTTTCATTAACAAGCATCACGTCCAACGCCGCAAATTATTGTTAACGCAACAATCATCAGATGACCTTTCCGGCAAGACCGTTGCATGTTTCGCCCGGTCTTCTGCGCTTTTATTCCCGTCGATCTCGCAGCGGGCACGCCCCCTCTGCAGGATTACGTAATCCACAACGCTCAGCGATGTTCAACAAGGTCTTCCATACCTATATCCACCGTCCGCGCCGAGGGTGGAGACATGTCAAGCACCTGTCTGCTAATCACCGAGAGTTGACGAGCACAAGAAGTATCCAAAAATGGGAACGCTGAATATGTTACACCCTCAAAACACCTAGTCCCAATGAAAATCTAGTTTTTTCCTTTCTTAATGAGTGTAAGTGGCAAAAGGCCTGGTAGGATGGGCACGAGGAATGATCGAAATCAGCATAAAAATTATAAATAAGCCACACAGAGCGACCTATATCAGAGAAATTCCCCCCAAACGATCATGCTTAGAAACGCCGAAGACAAAAACCACGCTCATGACGCTGCTTATAAAACAACGCTAAACAGCTAGCATCCAAATAAAATATGTCTTTCAGGGCTGATAAAATACAACTGAATGATTTTAAACCACTGAAACTGAGTTTACAACAGTAGTTCGGTAAAATCACTGACGTTCCACGCGGTCGATCGCCCCGACACCAAAAGTCAACAATATTACCTCGGGACTGTCCGCGTGTTCGCTTGCATATGTCAGCATCTGGTGTCGCTAGAATGAAACTTCATAACCAGGCGAAAATTATTATACTTGACCTCAAAATGTAAAAAATGCTTCATTTTCCTTAAAATTGCATGTTAAATGTCATATAACCCATATTTCCACCATTCTGTCATTTTTAAAAAATCATTAAAAATATCATTCCACGGTCAATTTCCTTGTTCCACGGTCAGATTAAAGATAACTTTATGGAGATTTAGTAGATACTTAAATCAGCGTGCACTTTTTTGAGACGTGATGCACTTTTGAGTTTTAGTGGGCGAACGGCCGAAAAATTGCCTTCCGTTCTCATAAATGGGAACGCCCGTTCCCATATTTGGGAACTCCGTTCCCAAAAATGGGAACGTTCCTATATTTGGGTACTCATGACCATAGTTCCGCCTACTGATATAGGTTGGGCCTCACCAAACTTGGTCAATGGATATAGATAATGTTCTGATAACAAGGCGCACAAAATCTAGGCTGGGCCCACCATACCATATCCCAAAAGTTACAGAGCTTTGAATTACAACATGCTCCTCATAATAGCCTTGCTCATAATGAATATCACAAAATTTAAAGCTTAAGTTTAAGCTTGAGACGTCGCTTTTGAGACCGCAATCGCATACACGTTTTCGGTAGGTATAACCAATATACTTATAAACAACCCGCAGGCTTTTCTGCGGTCAAAAGAAGCAAATTTTGGATCTGTCCTATCTCTAACAAGACATCACAACGTACAGACAAAAATTACAAACAAACTAAACCGACTAAACCCATAAAACAAATACGATTACAAAGCCAGCAAGGATTGACTTTTGAGGTCCCCTTTTCTCTGATGAAGCCATTAAAGCTGATGACGTAATTTTTCATTGATTTGCTTTTTAGTTCAATTTTCTGTTAAAATCTTTTATTTTGGTAATAAAAATAAATAAATTTTGAATAAAAATATTATAATTATCATATTGTATCCTTAATTTCAAACATATTGTCTCAGTCAAGAACTTTATACGTCATACTTTGCTTCAGTAGCCGCGTTTCCAGTTTCCTTCTGTGCAAAAAAGCGTCAATTATGGCGTATCTGTTTCGAGATCCTTGATAGATTATCCCCGCGTTCGATGTCTCTCGGACGGCGAAGATTCTACGCCGTCCGGCCAATCACGTTCCACAACCGTAGCCGAGCCCCCGCTGACCTTGAATGTGGTTGGCCGGATGACGTAAAATCTTCGTCGTCCGAGAGACATCGAACGCGGGGTATGTCACGATTATGTAAACGTGATGTAAACCCCAAATGTAAACCTAGGACGTGCGAGTTGATAGCGTGTATTTTTACATAATTCGTGTCTTATTCATAAAACTACAAGCCATGGCAGATAGGAAGAAGGGCAGGCTAGAGCCCTTGCTAGAGACATTCAGAATCAGAGGTCATTGCGCCAGGCGGCAGGCCGGGGTGGGGGTCACTCGAGACTCGAGCCTCCGAGCGTAATCGTTTTTGTGTTTTCACGGCAGAATTTGAATTGTGCTAGGTCTCAGCTCAAGCTGCATAACAGCCATTCCAGTTCAAAGGTCTGTTTTGATGCAGTTTCAAGTCTGTTTTGCCCTGGCAACTCTGACATGCCAGCAGCCAGATCAAGGCTATATAAACCCTGATTTCTGCCGGTCTAAGCAGAACACCATCCACATCGGAACAGGGGTTTGGGTCAACATGGTTGTATACCTTGACCTACCGATTAGCTAGTCTTTCCTGTAGCACTCCAGAGTTGGTATGGTGTTGGACCGCCAAGCCTGGCTCTGGTGAGTTGAGCCAGACTTGGCGGAGGTTCATCATGCGAAGCCACACGATGAACCGCCCTGGTCAGCGAGCGGGCGTTTGAGGCGTTTGAGTTCTCAGTACTAACCCACAATCTTGATCTCATCTTAACACTTCATATGCTATTTACAGACACTAGTTCATCATGTCAAGATGCGGGTGAGAAGACCGTTAAGCGGAGTGAGTCTGTTAATGTCACGACTGCGGAAGGCGGCTGGAGTCATTATTGCTGTGGAAGTCGGGTGCTGTGCAGCAGGATATTGGGCTTTCAGAAAAACCAACAGAGACCAAGGTAATGCATGTTCTTATTTGATTATTTTTGTTCATTTTTTTCTTTCAAAAGGAAGCTTTCATAGAGGCTTATGACAGTTGCTTCAGTGTTCTGTCTAGTTACACTTATCAGGATAGCTGTTTTCAGCATTTGAGATTGTTCCTAAACATAGGTATGCTATTTTCAGTTATGCAATGAATGCGAATATTAATGGCAAATGCTACCTACATTTTCAGAGTTCCGTTTCTACCTGAGAAACAACTGGCCGACGGTGTTGGACGCTTACTACACGTTCTGTGGCCAACTGGGCGAGGAGTACAGGCAGATCGAACTGCGGGACATCCAGGCCTGGCGGGGACGCACCCAGTGACGAATTGGTATGGATTAAGCTGGATGATCTACTGTTAACGCCAGACCCCTTGAGACCCTAATTTTTCGCGATTACTTTTATATGCGAGAAGGAATTTCAACCAAGCTCAGGACATGGCCGTTTCAAGACAGGCCGAAACTTTTACAATTTAGATATTTTATCGCCATTTCAATATTTCAGGCACTTGTCATTGACTCGTAATGTTAAATTTCGAGCAAGATTTTCATCCGGTGTGTAGAGGCTATCACCAGTCAGTCTGTGATACGTTATGACGTCACAGCTAAGCCCCGCCTCTGTGGTCTTGGCCTGCGGCGGTTTCGGGCCGGCGCGCGGTCACTCTCGCTGTGGCGGGGAGCGGGGACGGGCGACGGGCGAGCGGTGCCGAAAGCCGGCGGAATTGTGCGTAGCGTCTTGGCTGACAGTGCCCAGAGAGCGACATGATGACTAAGGAGTCATAAATGCTCATTGCGCATTGCTTCTACAATGCGCATTGAGCATCCACCACTCAATGCGCATCCACCACTCATGTTCGCTGATATATTTTTTTTTATATAAGCTGCAAATGACGGGCAGATGGCATATAACTGACATAAGGTTAGGAAATATTCACCTGTATTTAAAGCCTATGGCGTTGCAGATAATGCGATAATGGGATGTCGGAGACGGATGTCACCAAGTAGCTGCCGATTTGTACATCGCTATGCAACTATCGAACAACGCAATAATAAGTTAATTGCCTGAGCTTCACATCATACGGCTCGCTCGTATTTCAAACAGATACCCTACATCGAAAATCGTATTTGTTAGGAATCGTTAACGTTTGTTCGAAGCATGACTGAGTAGTAGGTTGAGGAGTGATGGTCCTCTTGGTCCTATATACAAGAGTCAACAAGAGCCTAACATTTACTTGACCGTCTGCTGCAATTGACTCATAGCACGTGAAGCGTCAGCGAAATTCATAGTCCTTCACAGATGGCAGGGGTGTCGTTTGTACAGAGGTCGCTGATGGGCACGGGTCAATGCCGCAGTCGTGGGCGGAGCCTAATGTCATATGACGTAGAAAGCCTCTATCCAGGATGGAAAAACAGTTAACATTACGAGTCAATGACAAGTGCCTGAAATATTGAAATGGCGATAAAATATCTAAATTGTAAAAGTTTCGGCCTGTCTTGAAACGGCCATGTCCTGAGCTTGGTTGAAATTCCTTCACGCATTTAAAAGTAATCGCGAAAAATTAGGGTCTCAAGGGGTCTGGCGTTAACAGTAGTCTATTCATACCACATCACGTTCCGTCGGAAATCGTTATGTGATGCTGGATTATGTACATAGTGCGTTACTGCTGGTTGTATGAGCGCATGCTCTTACGTAATGCTAAGGACTTTTCTTCCTGCCCTAAATTCAAAGTTTTTAGCACTAAGTCGGAAAGAAATGTTCGATGCTAGTATGCCGGTGTCGCTACCTACATGCGATACGGTAATTTAGATGCAGAATCATCAGGCTGTCCCTAGCTTGCTGATGACCTCTAAAGTGGGGGCTCCCCAAAATCACAGGGCCCCGCCCAAGCAGAGCGGCCGGGCCGTGGAGCTGCAACGCCAAAATCGCTGAGATTCGCATTGATTAGTGTTTATTCAGTCGGCGAAATAATTGAAAAATATCATATTTGCTAACCACAGCACGATTCTAATTACACATCCGCAGTGCTCAAACTTTATTCGCGTGTGCCGGTAAACTTCCACCAGCATCGTAGAATTACTAGCGCCATTAAAAGTCGAATATTGCTCGTGGGTACGAAGTGGCGATTTTTTTTTACTGTATGTTACCTGCCGTTTCACAGATCTTACCACGATGTCTGCCGCGCTGATAAAGGGTCTGACCCACCTGGTGTTCTGGTCCGGCATGGGCTACATGTTGATGCAGGTGGTCACACCTAGTGACGACGAGATCAGAAAGGTAAGAGCGCCACACTCGACACGGATTTCATTGATTTGCCCGTACCTGCTTACCATACCAACGAATTTCGGTTGGTACCTACCGTATTACCGTGCTCGCCCTGTGCCTTTGTTTCGGAACCATCGCTGCTTTGGTAGTTGATTTCGAGCGTTTTCTTACGGTGTGTTTGTCGGCAGAAATTACCGGGCGGCCAGAACCCGGCCTCGTCCGACCCCAGCCACAACAAGCTGGTTATGGAGGCCATGAAACGGTCGGCCGGGGTCAAGGACAAGTGACCAGCGCCGCGACCAACCCCCTAGTGCAATCGAACTCGTGTGGAGAACGGTAACCGAATGAGTGGAACCGAAACCAGTGATTATGACCCACTTGATGCCGTTACCTTGCTGGGGATAGATACGGTGTTTTTGAACGTGTGAGCTGCGTTGCATTGTGTGAACGATTGTTGCGATTTGCTGTTTTGGAATAGAGTGTACCCGTATTACATGGCTTATTCTGCGCGTTTATCGCGCAAGGCATTAGCGATACCCGATGATAATTCCCTTGATAATAAGTCCGCCCCCAAAATAAACATTTTCAATGTTAGCATTGGTCTATTTAAATATGATATCACATTGGTACTACTCGCAAGTCGCAAAGCAAGCCGTATCGTCAAAATGGGTGGAGTAAAAATGCCATACCTAACACAGCCATGGGGAGATTGATGCCTCATGCTTCTAGACCATCTCTCTCGCTGCTTTCTTCCTCCCTCATCCGTGCTCCTCTCTCCCCTCTATCATCCGCTCCTCTCCCTCCTCCCCACAGAGCTCCAGTCGGCTGTTACGGCGCAGACAGCGCCACACTCGCCGCAGTCGCGCCGGACCGAGCTGCCCGCGACTGTAGGCGGCCCGCTCTGCGTCACCGCAGGCCCAGCCGGGGTCGGAGAGGCGCCGCACGCGGTGACCGGCCAGCCAGATGCCCAGTGACACGTCCTCGCCCTGGAACCTGCACATAGGGGGAAGACAGGTCAGATCGGAGTCGGGTTACACCCAGTGGCACGACCGTAATTGAATCTGCCGATGCGTGCGGCGCAGGACGTCAGGTCAGACGGGTTATATGCAGAGACAACTCTTCGCATTTATTCGAGTTATTTTGTTTTTATTTTTCAATGTTATTTTCAGACACGGAGTGACAAGGGTCGGGCCAAACGTAATAATGCATTTACTATGCATTTACTTATAATTCATTCATCTCTTTCCTATACCTCGGCTTCCCAGGCGCGTGCACACTGCACATGCCCACCCCCAGCGGTCACCGCTGTAATTTCCCCATCCACCCCTCCCCACGTCGCTGACCTGGTGAGCTCTGCTCGGTTCCGCGCCAGCCACCGGACCACATCTGCGGAGAGGAGGCTGGCCGTACCGCAGGCGAACGGCGGGTACACGGCGGCCTGGTACTCCAGCTCGGCCCACTTGCCGTACCGGTCCGCCGGCCAGTTGTACCTGAACGGACGAGTACCGGGGTACGTGATGAGAGGGGGTACCGGGTAGGGATGCAGCAACTATACTCGTACTATACCTAATGACGTACGGAGAGGTCTAATGAGACGGGGAAAAGGGTGTGTGGTCATATTTTGTGCCTGACATGACCTGGGGTAACTCTGTGGTCAGACATGTCCTTGAGTATTTCCTTGCTATAAAATCGGCGATGCATACCATGGGCGCAGCTCACTGACCTGAACTGACCCCACCAGAGCCCTTCGTCCGTGTGAGGGGGTACGTTCTCCAGTATCCGCGGTATATCCAGCAGCACATCGTCGTCACATTTGATGACCCACTGCGCCGGCGTCTCAGCGGCCCTGAAAACGCCACCAAGTAATGATTATAGGTTCAATCATAATACTAACTGATAACGCCCGCGTCGTCTTTTCCAACACTCACCTGAGCTTGGAGTTCCTCTCATCCCCACCCACCGCGGTGTGTTCTTACCAAGTGAGGAAGCTGATGAGTTTATCTGGCAGCCTTCGATAGACATCCGGGCCCGGCACCAGGAGCAGGTCGCCGTGCCGCGCGGCCTCCTCAGACAGTGACCGGGTCACGGCGTCCCCGTCCGTCCGGCGACACGTCGGGTCATCGAGGGGATCCGAGGGCGCCGGCGAGGGGTCGGCAGCGGAGGGTTCATCTGAGGGGCAGATAGGTACAGTCGGGTTAGCGGTGGGTTGACATGGGGATATTGAGATACTGAAATGTTAAGACATTGAGTGAATGTGGCGTGTTCAAAATTCGAGCAGGCGACCTATTCGAGGTTACAGCCATGAGAGATGAAACATGGCCACATGGGCACTGATCGTAAGTAGTCACTGCTCACTAAGCTATCGCTGTCTGAATGGGTTTCAGAGTGGAAGTGACGCTCGTAGCCTTCCCCGGGCCGGCGTACCGTGCACGGTGTAGACGAGCGCCACGGGCCAGCAGAGCGGCTCCAGTCCTGGCCGCACGTGCCGTCCGTCCTCTGTGATCAGCGCCGTCACCCTCAGCTCGGTCGGCTCCGGCACCTCTGTCTGCCGACACTCCATCACACCGGGCCCAGACACCACTCTCAGCCGGCCCATGAACCCAGCCGGCAGAACCAGCAGCGGCGACAGCGCGGTCTTGACGTCACTGGAGGCCGCCTCTGACGTCACTGGCGACCGGCCGACCGCCGCGGCGGCCGCCGGCTCACCGTCGGCCGTCTCCAGAGTGACGTCACCGGAGTGCAGCGGTGACGTCACGGCGCGGGCCACCACGCCGCGGAGCACTGTGAAGGCGATCCCGACGGCAGCCGGCCGTGGCACAGGGCCGGGGGTCAGACGGAGCTGCTGCTGACTGCCCACCGCTGCGGAAGAGACAGATGCGTGATGACTGATGAGCTAGATGGAGCATCACAAACATACGCACACGGAGCAGCTCGGGGAAACCAGACAAGAAGCTCCCACACGCCAGGCGCCAGCAGACGCATGAGCCCATGCAAGCGGCTGTTTCACGATTCACGAAGTCATCACTCATCATCTACGAACTGTGATAATACGGCAGGTGGTGGAACATTCAGCTCGTAAACAACACTGATAGGCGACACCCACCATTGCGAGGCGGTCTCCACGGCTCGCAAGAGTACCGGTCCAGCAGGCAGCGGTCGACAAGTGGACAGTCCGAGCCTCCCACGACGAACACCCCGCGGGCCCCGGCAGCTTCCAGCTGCGGCCACCAGGTGTCTCTGATGGCGTCGCGCTGCTGTCGCCGCCGACGGCCGGAGAGTACGCCGACGACCAGCCGCCCTCCGGGGGCAGTGTTGTGGGGGTCAGCGGGGTCATCTGTGGAGGGGGGGGGGGGGGGGTGAAGGGCGGGAACATTGGAGGGCATAGTCTTCAGATCAGTAGTGGGTGGGAAACATCAATTCAGCAAAAAATCAGAAGTAGCATATCCAGAATCATTATATGTTTATTCAATAACAACAAGACATTATGGTACAGTTACCTTGGGAATACTGAAAGAAGTATGACGCGAATACAGCTGAAACGGTAGCAATCACACAAGTAATTCCCAGTTTCTTCGAAAGCATTTTTATTCCCTGTCCCCTGAAACTGTTTCAGTTTCAACGGCATGTGCACCGCTCGGTCGCTATACTTTGAATTTAGACATTTCTCTTGTTGCCGGGCGGGTACCAAAGCAGCACGACGAATTTATGACGGTATCGGTAATCGGACCTTATCTTGCGACAGGCGAGCTACATCACAGCACAACAGGAAGTGGGCGGTACCACGTGAGTGCTGATGGCCCCGTTCTGTTGACTTTCATCAGCTGTTATGATCGCACCACATTTGTCATTACTGCGTCATTTCTGCGGCAAATATTCAGCTTCAAATATGGCACACTCGAGGAGTATTCAAGATGACGTCACGAAGAGAGCTATTTACTTTTTGGTATTTCTCTGCGCTAAAATGAATTTTAAGTAGACTACTAATGTGCAAAAAAATATAGAAATCCTTTTTGACAATTTTTTGGAACCCAGAATTGTTTATTCGACTTGAATTTCATGATTTTGATTGCGACGCACTTACGTCATATCTTCAACTGCTGCCAAATTATCTTAGCTCATGCAAATGCTTGCCATGTTTTTATCGTTTGCTTGATAACGATCGAAGTCACGTTTTGTTGCAAAACCGGTTATATTTATTAATTCCATTGTAAGACCCCGCCTTTGATGCTGATATTTGTATTATTTTCATCATCTTACAACCCTTCCAGTACAACAATTTTTTTTGTTTCATCTGCTCTCGGAACTCAACTGAACTGCCAGTGACTTGTAACGAGTGCAGTCGCAGTGCAGGCATTTCAACTTGAATTTTCCATATTTTGCAGTCTGGAGTTTCTGACTGAACCCTTTTTTAGCATCTTATCACTTGTCTGATGATTATTCAGTGTATATACCTGAACCTGTAACATTGTTGGTCTCAATTTGTTACAGATGGGCTCTGTTCGTCCTCCCTCGGTGGTGCCACTGGAGGAGAGGACGGAACAGTTTCTCACCAGTCCGGATGGCCTTCCTATCCATGACTTCAGGTAATATATGCCCTTGGGGCTTTTTTCAGCATTTTTTCGATGCACAAATATAAATACATTTTGAGTTATCTGGTTCTGGTTTAGATTTTGATTTATTGCTTCTTGCCCAGTTTTATTATATTGCCATACTTCTGTCATAAGTAGGATTGTTTCCACTTTCCATGAAGTAAAAACAAATTTGTAGTACTTGCAAACTAAAATACATTTTTAACCAAGACAAATTGCTTATAATCAGGTCTATAATGCAAAGAACATGACAAACATATGACCCTCCAGTTGCTTTGCATCTAATGTCACAGCCCCTCTCTGGCTCCCTGCCATATTCTATTCACAGGTACTGCCAGGAGTATGTGGCTCCGGCGGTCAACTATGCAGACTTGCTGGCCACCGAGCGCAGTCCAGTGGCCACTATGCTGCAGGTAATACACACACTGGAAGGTCAATCGTCTGCTGGTCTTCCCCAGCTGTCAAGCCAATCGTTGGCCTTATGTGGGTTTTATCTTGCCCAAAGTGTTTCCTGAATGGCTGACCTTTGCTGTGTCATCTTGAGACCCAGACAAAAAAAAGAACAATTTTTCCTAAGCTTTTAAGGCTCCTGTCATCTGTGATATTCTGAAAGAGCAGTGGTCTGTCCCTTTCTTATGACCCTAACTAATGACCCTGACCTCTCTTTTTCCTGACCTGTGACCCGTCACCCCACAGGTGGACCGTGACCCGACCACAGGTCGTGTGCTGACCTTCTCCGAGGTACCGATCGACGCCGCCGAGCTGGGCCGGACCGCGCACAACTCGTTCTCGTTCCGCCGGGCGCCCGGCCCGCCGGAGCAGGACGTGCGCGGGGACGTGGCCAACTTCCCGTTCTGGCCGGGAGGCAGCCTGGAGGCGCCGCCGCCACCGCCGGCCGTGGCCGAGCTGGATACCCTCCTGCCCGACGGTGGGTCTCGGGGAGAGGGGAGGGGAGGGGAGGTAGGGCCATCCGAGCTGGATACCCTCCTGCCCGACGGTGGGTCT